GCAGACTGTCTGCTTTAATTTGAGGGTGTTTACATCCCAATCAGGTGAATGGTGTAGGAATTACAACAGTTTGCATATGTGCCTCCCGCTTGTTAAGGGACCAAAAGTAATGAGACAGAATAATAATCATAAATCCCAAACTTTCACTTTTTAATACTTGGTTGCAAATCCTTTGCAGTCAATTACAGCCTGAAGTCTGGAACGCATAGACATCACCAGACGCTGGGTTTCATCCCTGGTGATGCTCTGCCAGGCCTCTACTGCAACTGTCTTCAGTTCCTGCTTGTTCTTGGGGCATTTTCCCTTCGGTTTTGTCTTCAGCAAGTGAAATGCATGCTCAATCGGATTCAGGTCAGGTGATTGACTTGGCCATTGCATAACATTCCACTTCTCTCCCTTAGAAACTCTTTGGTTGCTTTTGCAGTATGCTTTGGGTCATTGTCCATCTGCACTTTGATGCGGCGTCCCAATGAGTTCTGAAGCATTTGGCTGAATATGAGCAGATAATATTGCCCGAAACACTTCAGAATTCATTCCTGCTGCTTTTGTCAGCAGCCACATCATCAATAAATACAAGAGAACCAGTTCCATTGGCAGCCATACATGCCCACGCCATGACACTACCACCACCATGCTTCACTGATGAGGTGGTATGCTTAGGATCATGAGCAGTTCCTTTCCTTCTCCATACTCTTCTCTTCCCATCACTCTGGTACAAGTTGATCTTGGTCTCATTTGTCCATAGGATGTTGTTCCAGAACTGTGAAGGCTTTTTTAGATGTCGTTTGGCAAACTCTAACCTGGCCTTCCTGTTTTTGAGGCTCACCAATGGTTTACATCTTGTGGTGAACCCTCTGTATTCACTCTGGTGAAGTCTTCTCTTGATTGCTGACTTTGACACACACATACACCTACCTCCTGGAGAGTGTTCTTGATCTGGCCAACTGTTGTGAAGGGTGTTTTCTTCATCAGGGAAAGAATTCTTCGGTCATCCACCACAGTTGTTTAACATGGTCTTCCGGGTCTTTTGGTGTTGCTGAGCTCACCGGTGCGTTCCTTCTTTTCAAGAATGTTCCAAACAGTTGTTTTGGCCATGCCTAATGTTTTTGCTATCTCTCTGATGGGTTTGTTTTGTTTTTTCAGCCTAATGATGGCTTGCTTCACTGATAGTGACAGCTCTTTGGATCTCATCTTGAGAGTTGACAATAACAGATTCCAAATGCAAATAGCACACTTGAAATGAACTCTGGACCTTTTATCTGCTCATTGTAATTGGGATAATGAGGGAATAAACACACACCTGTCCATGGAACAGCTGAGAAGCTAATTGTCCCATTACTTTTGGTCCCTTAACAAGTGGGAGGCACATATGCAAACTGTTGTAATTCCTACACCGTTCACCTGATTTGATGTAAATACCCTCACATTAAAGCTGACATTCTGCAGTTAAAGCACATCTTGTTCGTTTCATTTCAAATCCATTGTGGTGGTGTATAGAGCCAAAAATGTTAGAATTGTGTTGATGTCCCAATATTTATGGACCTGACTGTATATATACAACATTAAATAGAAAGGATCTTTAGGATCTTTCAGGAAAATATGATCTATTACTCAAAAATGTATCATGTTTACATCTGCTGCTGCAAATTGCTGCTTACTGCTGTACCAATACAGATTCGATTAGTAGAATCTCAGGTAACCTACACACAGCTCAATGTCTCAGAGGAGAGCCCCTAATCCTCGTCATCTATAGACAATCCATTGTACATATTCAGTCATCAGGAGTAGTCAACAACTTAGTATGCACCGCACATACAAAACCACTCTGTATTATTTTATAGATGATATAAAATATCAGTTTAGAAATATTATATTTTCGAAAGGAAAGCATTAAAAATGTTATCTGTTGCATTCTTTAAGGAGATACTTTCATTTAATGTTGTGGGTTTAACACACTTTTAAGCCATCTCACTTTACAGCGGACAAGTTATATTATAAACTAGCATAGCAAGGTAAATGATGGAATGGATTATAAGGCTGGAGTAACACAGCTGGATATAGAACACTTCCGACAAGGAATATTAAACCCTAAATACTATTGCTTTAGGAAGGGGGGGTGGGGTTCCCTCATGTTTTTGGACCTTTGTTAATGCGTAAGGGAACTTCCCGCCAAAAAATATTCTGCGGTAGAGTTTTTCGGGAGAGGAGACTCTGCTGATGGGCATCTGCTGATACCCGCCACTCCATAGAGAGCCATGGATGGGTCGATCAAATCCGCCTGAAACACTGCCAGGTGGACCCAATCGGACCGTCAGTGTGAAAGGGGCCTTATGCAGAACTTAAAGAATCCCTGTCTCTTTGAAGAGTGCTACTATATTGTAAATATTTGGACATTCCTATCCGTCGTGACCCTGTATATTACAGACATTTATTATAAGTCATAATTGTTGTTAATGGTTGATAGACCGATAAGTTATCTGTTGGTAGTGATTGGGATATAAAGGGTTAACTGTGTAGTTAACTAAACCTAGTGATGATTGCTCTCAATCTGCTGGCGGTTAGATTGTGGTCCCGCAAGCTGGAAAATTTTGCAGGGTGAGGCTGAGAGTCATTGTCGTGTATCAGAGATAGCGTGGTGTGTGTTTGACCAGTCATTTGTCACAAGTCGGTGAAGGTGGCCAGATCTGATAATGCATCCATCAAAGATGTAGTATCTACATGAATGTGAATAACACATTTTGCAAGAGAATGTTAATTCACCAAAAAATTAGGATGCAATCCCATGCAAAAATAATTTTACAAAGAACTTAATTACCTATATTTGCTGAATTAAAAGCCATGCATTCATATCAGTGTAAACAGGTGCAAATGTAATGAATAAGACCGATGTTTAGAATTATATACTGTATGCACCTAATATCCTGGGGATCGTCCAGAGGCTGCCAGGAATTCCTTAAGTTTTGACTGATTTGACCTCCAGTTTGATGATGCCTATTACCTAGATAGTTTTGTGTCCAATACCACTTGGCATGACATCAATCATCTTTTTAGCTGTCTTTAAGGGTTACACTGTGACCACCAATGTAAGAGGCATTCTTCCCACTGACCACCAATGTAAGAGGCATTCTTCCCACTGACCACCAATGTAAGAGGCATTCTTCCCACTGACCACCAATGTAAGGTGCATTCTTCCTACTGGCCACAAATGTAAGGTGCATTTTTCCCACTGACCACCAATGTAAGGTGCACTCACCACCAATATAAGGTGCATTCTTCCCGTTCACCAACAATGTAAGGAGCGTTCTTCCTACTGGCCACAAATGTAAGAGGTATTCTTCCCACTCACCACCAATGTAAGGGGCTTTCTTCTCACTGACCAGCAATGTAAGAGGCATTCTTCCCACTTACCACCAGCGTAAGGGGAATTCTTCCCAATGGCCACCATTGTAAGAAGCATTCATCCAGTGACCATCAATGTAAGAAATATTCCTAATGAAATGTGTATTCTTCCCAAAGACCAAAAATGTAAGAAGCATTCTTATCAGTGACCACCTATGTAAGAAACATTCTTCCTAGTAACCACCAATGTAAAAATCATTCTTCCCACTGACCACCAATGAATTGATCTTAGCTGGATACCCTGAGATATAAAAAATATTTCTAGGATTCCCCTGCGGCAAGAAGAAAAGGACTGCATTTAATAATTGGAAAGCAACAATTTGTAAACTCACAGTTTTGCTGTACAGGTAGGAATCTGACAGGAATCTGAAGACAAACAAACAGTTTTAAGGAGAATTTTTTTGACTTTGCAGTTAAAAACACAGGAGTGAAATTCCACCAAGGTTGTTGAAAATACCTTTTGTGTTTCGCAGATACACAAGTAGCCCAACAGTAAAGAAAGCCAATCCCAGGCCAAAGCCCACTAAACCGATCAGCGTCTTGCTGCGAGTAGTTTCCTGTATTTTGGATTCTGCAAAGGAAAACATGGCAATACAGTTGTGTCCATAAATGTAGATCTTTTCATGGTGGTTTATTACACTGTTCAGAAGCCATGCACAGCAACAGAGTGCTTCTAACTTTTACCAAATTAACTGGTCAATAATCAGTTACTCTACTATTTTCCACATCAAACTCCACCAGAAAAATACTACTACCAAACCTGAAGTTAATTTATAGGAAGCCACAAAATGCTGGTACAATTTACCCCAACAAAAAAATCCTCACTGTTCCCCGAAGGCAATTCTATACTTTCTGTGTAAAAAGTCTGCAACTCCATAATACTTTGAGAAACGGTTAGTGTAAGACTCCCAATGCATAAAGGCTCTTAGCAGGGAGTTTAAGCTTTAGCCAAGCTTTTTTGTGTATTTTAGTAATTTGTTAAGCATTTTTAAAGGATGTGTTTAACATGTGTACCAGCTGACACCTGAATGAATAGGCAACACTGGAAGTTTTATTTGAGCATCATGGAACCATAATTATTTTGTATTTTAATATTGAAAATTAAAGAGTGCAGGAAGATAAAACATTATTAGGACTTATTTTGCTTACTGCACTGTGTAGAATGGTAATTCAGTATAGAATTAAAGTTATTTGCACCTGGCTTCAGCCCCATCCCTCTAAGGCAATTAGATAAATGTTTTTGATATTTTTGGGCTGAGGGAAGCATGTCCATCTTTTCTCTCCTAGATGAGAATGAAGTAGAATAGCAAGTGCATGCGGCCAGATTTTACATGTGTGTAGATGTGCCAAGAGCTCTGCCTGGCCTTTGGAACCCAGCAAAGACCTTCAGCACATCTGCACACCTGCAGGGGTTTTCCCTGTGTGTGCATGAAGATGCCAAAGTTATGGAGGGTCCATATCTCATGTTGTGCAGCAAGCTTCTTCCGAGTCCTGAATGCTGGTACAGTCCTTTGGCACACCTGCACCAGATTTTCAAAGATGGTGGTGCTGTGAGAATGGGCAGGGCCAGCATTATGGGGACTAAAGTTCCTCTTTAAAATATTCCATAGCCTTCCTGGCGGTATTCCTGAGTGTAGCTCGGGGTAAAGTTTCAGTACCACAAGTGGTAACCCCGAGCTACACTCGGGCTTACCATGCGGCGCTGCTCCACGATCCCTCGATTACTTACCTTGTCCTGTGCTCCCGCAATGTCCCCCCTGCAGTGTCCCCAGCAATGTAATCCGGCGGATGCCGGCATCTGTCATCTGGGTTCCGTCCCCTGCGAGCGTCGGGACGTACGGGGGATGGAATGGTGGGAAATTTGAAAATGACAAAAAGTGACATTCACTAAAATCACATAGTATAACATTACTGTAACAAACCATTTCACATACATTTTGTCCCGAGTGCTTTGTCCTGCGCCCTGCCTACATTTTTACTCTTCTTTCTGCCTGGAAACTGAGAAACATTTATGGCATCCAAAAAGCGTCCCTTTAGGTCAAAAGTGGTTTTAGACGGCTAGAGAACAGCGATAGTAAATTAGAACCACTTGCAGAATTGAGTGATAATGATTAGTGGGGAAATTCGTCATCAGACACTGAAAACGATTCTTCGACTTTGCTCAGTGATGTGCAAACTTGGTGCTATATTTCAAATTTCAGTGTTTTTGGATTGATTATATTATTGAATTAAATTTATTATTATTATATATTATTATTTTTATGATTATTTATTAAATTATAATTTATGATTTCGTGTTTCAAGTTTTATCCTACCCGGGATGTTTACTAGACTCTGGTTTGGACAGATTTAAGTGAGTTACTCCTAAGAATTACAGGCCTACAATATAAAATACCAAATTTCCATGCAAAATAATGGTACTGCTTTCAGCACCAAAAATCTGAAATAATCATACCGCCAGGGAGGTTAAAACATATCTAAAGCCAGAACTTTTTTTTTCATTGTGGATAGAATAGAAAATGGTCAGAACTCCTGTCAGTTTTTTGATCCGTGCCCCACTGGGGAATCTTACTAAGAAAATTGGTAGTCTCTGTGAAGGAAATCCCCTCTAAGACAGTTCTCATTAGACCTAGTGTGCCAACTATCAAAATAAGAATGATAAAGTGCAGCGCAACCCAATGTGCAAAATAATACATAAAATGATTATAATCTAAACATAAGTGCAATATTCATAAGGTGAGTGAATGTCCATCAGATCTAGGTGATATAAACAGTTCTCATTAACCAATTCATGATTCCTTATAATCCTCATATTCTTCAATATGTGACAAACCACCTCCACCAGAAGAACTGGCCGATCACCTTTAAAAACTGACCCCTGAACCAACCGGTAGTTAAAGGTGCTTTAAAGCAAAACAAAAAGAAAGCACACCAAGCTTGCGCATTACCTCAGTAAAATGTGATTTTATTGAATTTGAAAATATACTCACAAACAGAGAAGTAAAACAAGTGTGTAAAGTCCTTAGCAAGACTTAAACAGTCAGAAACCAGCGCGAGTCTAACCACGAGGGAAAATTCTCAGAGTCAGGCTAAAATCACATTTTACTGAGGTAATGCGCAAGGTTGGTGGGCTTTCTTTTTGTTTTATTTTACAATATTGGTCAGCCATCCCCAGCCTTGTTTAAAGCCGGACAACCTTTGATGCTTTGGTGTGAATTTCTTCAAGTTTCGTGTCCATCTATACACCCTTATTCTGGGTCATAGAGAGCAGGAGGTGTTGGTTTTTTGGCATATAGAGGCTGCAGGTTTAGTTCTTCAACATTCCTGTACACTCCCAGCAATATCAATCCATCATAAAATAGAAAAAAGAGAGCCCATAGTGTTCTCCATATATCACATTTAATAATAGACGTGAGAATACACTTACAATAAAAGGCACTCCACTGTGCGGGTTTACAAGCCAAGTAATCAACGTTAACACAGTCAGGCAAGATGGCCATGGGATGACATAATTTGCCTGGTTCCGCCCTACTACGGGACGGGACTTCCTCATTGGAAGACTTCCCTCATCCTATTCTGGTGACAACTCTAAATATTTATTTTAAAAATATGACAGAGGTTCTAACCCCTCACTACTCTATCCAATATTAAAAAAAACAGCTTTGGCTTTAGAAACCCTTTACCATGGATGCAGTTTTCAACAGCTGTCAGCATCCCTCTTCTGTAAACTTCCTTTCATAATAGTAAATAGAAGTAAGTAGGGTTAGGTTGGCCTTACTCCATTGTACTTCTCTAGGTGTGGTCCAACTGCTGTGCTCCACACGACAGATGAAAACATCCCCATGCTGTATGGCTGCCTCCAGGTCAAGTTGTATCTGGTATGTCCAGTCCCCATCATCTAATAGCTCTGATGCCGTAACATTTTCTGATTCCTCCACCCCGTTCTTCAGCCAGGTGACTTTTATCTTTGGAGGAAAAAAGTTGTCCACAAAGCAGGTCAGTATGTTCTCGTATTCCTGGTCTGTTGATGGTGCATAGATAATTCTGATACTGGGTTCAGCTATAAGACATGGAATGTATTTTTTAAGAAACATCATAATATATAATTTAAGAGGTTTCCAAAAGAGGAGCATGAGGAATTAATATTATGTTTTTTCTGTTTTCTGAGGAATTATTAAACCAACGTGGTTACCATCCTCTGGCTGGCAGGCCAAATAAACCATTCACCTGTGTATTGCCCCCACACTGCTCTGCAACTGCTTTAAGTGGTAGTAAAGTCACTGTCTATATTTTTACCTACATAAATAAATCTTACCTGTCGGTATATGAATATCACCGTTCACTGTTTAGAAGATATTCTACAGAGCAGCAGCCAGTGACAATACCGGCACATGTGCTCTGAAGGAACAGCATACCCATGTCGTTCCTTCAGAGCTGTGTGCCGTGGCCGAAACTCCCGCATGGCATGCACGGCAGCGGCTGCTCGGCTATTCAAGTAGCCACCATTACTAGTATAAAAAAAATTCCAGTATCTGTACCATCACTTGTAGATGCTATAACTTTCACGCAAACCAATTATTTTACACTTATTGAAATTTTTTTTTTACCAAAGACATGTAGAGGAATACATTTCGACCTAAATTTATGAAGAAATTAGATTTTTTTTTTATCAGACATTTTTTAACAGAAAATAGAAAAATTTTAGTCTTTCTTCCTTTATAGAATAAAAGTAAAAAAACCAGTGGTGACCAAATAACACCAAAACAAAGCTCTATTTGTGTGAAAAAAAATAATATAAATTTCATTTGGGTACAGTTTTGCATTACTGCACAATTGCCAGTTAAAGTAGTGCAGTGCCGAATAGCAACAAAATGCCCTGAACATGAAGGGATTCAAGTGGTTAAATCAAGTACTGGCCGGAAAACACATTGCCTTTTGGTACAGAATTTTTGGACTCCTTCAAACTCTGTTCCACCTAGTTGTCTCCAGGGATGCTAGGTATGCTTTGCTTTATTACCCAATCCCAGGCCTGTCTGTGCACCATAGACCATGGCCATGTACCTCTTCCTATCGGCCACACAAATGAGAGCTAAGGCACGGAAGAAGCCTATGGCTTCTCTAGAGAAAGTCAAGGCCCACATGACTTAGATGTTAATTAATGAGAAACGTTTCAGTGTTCCTACCTCTCAACCTAAATTTCTGAGGACTTGGGAACTGTGGTTCATTTATGCCCCAACCCTCTTTAAACCCAACAAGCCTATCCTACCTTTAGCCTTCTATATGGACAGTGACCTGAGTTCATGGAATATTTTTTTATTTATTTAAATTTATTTTCTTTACTGATTTTTATTTACACGTTTGCACATGTTCATGCGCAATGGCAGTGCGTTCATGTGCATTTGCGGTGCATTCTGAAGTGATTAATCTTGGTCTGATTTTGTTTTATATCTCAAAAACCTGGCATTTTTACATAGGCTAAATATAACACAATATATAGGACTGAATATACTCTATATATAAGACTGACTATAACTCTGTATACAAGGCTGTGATCCGGTACTCACATTTCCAATCTATGGTTTTCGGTTTGAGGATCTGATAGTTGGATTTGCAGACTGCATTCCGTACAGCTCGTCTTCCCTCTAATATACTCGTCTGGTTGTTGAGGTAATCTGCCTGTTCTCTCCCCAGCTCGGTTCTGCCGATGAAGAATCCTAAATCACTGTCAAAGTACATGAACTCCTCCTGATTGTAAACATGACGCTCCATATACTTGATGTCTTCCATCCCATTCCGATAATAACACTGAGCCTTATTCTGATATATGAAGTCATCTGCATGGAGAGAACACACAGCGGGGTCACCTCATCATCACACCAGGGTCAAACTGGGGGGGGATCACCTCATTATCATACTGGGGGTCACACACCGTGGTCACATTGGAGGGGTCACCTCATCATCATACCTAGAGCACACTGGAGGAGGCACCCCGTCATTACGCCAGGGTCACACTGGAAGGGTCACCTCATCGCAACACTGGGGTCACACTAGAGGGGTCACCACATCAGTACGCTGAGATCACACTGGAGGGGTAACCTTATCATTATGCCGAGGTCCCACTGGAGGGGGAATATCATCACCACACCGGGGTCACACTGGAAAGGTCACCTCATCATTATGCTGGAGTCACACTGGAGGGGTCACCTCATCACCACATTGGGGTCACATGGGATGGGTCACCTCATCACCACACGGTGGTCACACTGGAGGGGTCACCTCATCATCACACTGGGGTCAGACTGGAAGAATCACCTCATCATCATACCTGGGTCACACTGGGGGGGGTCACCTCACTATCATACTAGGGTCACACTGGAGGGGTCACCTCATCATCATACTAGGGTCACACTGAAGGGGGCACCTCATCATTACACTGGGTCACACTGGAAGGGTCACTTCATCATTATGCAAGGGACACACTGGAGAGGTCACCTCATCTCCATAATGGAGTAACACAGGAAGGATCACCTCATCATTATGCCAGGGTCACACAGGAGGGGTCACCTCATCATCACACGGTGGTCACACTGAAAGGGTCACCTCATCATCACACTGAGGCAGGGCAGACTGACAACTCATGGGGCCCCCGGGCAATAGGGGATCATGGGGCCCCTGTGTCCTTGGGTAAACTCAAAAAAGCCTATCAAAAGGTACCAGGGGCACTCATGGGGCCCCCCTACTGACCCCGGGCCCTCGGCAGTGCCCAAGTTTCCAAATGGTCAGTCCGCCCCTGCACTGAGGTCAGACTAGAAGGGTCGCCTTATCATCAGACCGGGGGGTCACCTCATTATCATACTGGGGGTCACACTGGAGGGGTCACCT